GAGTGGGAAGAGATTAACCAAAGATCTTATATGCATACGAGAGCAGCGGTCGCCAACCTTTCAAACCTCATGGACCACCAGTGGTCCGCGGACCACCAATTGGCAACTGCTGTACTAGAGGCCCAGATTCATGCACTGGTGGGGTCCCTCGGCCTGGCCTACGGGGATTGTGCTGAAACTTGCTTGGTGCAGGGATTCGGGCACCGGTGGGGTCCTTCAGCCTGGCCTATGCAGATTAGGCTGAAACTGGCTCTCTGACATCCCCCAAGGAGTCCCAGGTGGCGAGAGGGCACAGGCCAGGCCGTGGGACCCCATCAGTGCATGAATCCGTGCACCGGGCCTCTAGTATAATTAAAAATAAAGTTATTTTTCAAATGACCAAAAAATAATTTTACAAGTGGGTGTCATACAAAAATGTGAAGAAAATCTCAAATTCACAAGAAGTAGAAATATAACCTCTACAAATAAAAAAAAAAGAAATGACTAATAAGCATTTAAAAAATGTCATTTTTCACATGTCAAATATTTAAAGATGAAAAAGAAATCTTGGAAAACCAAAACTTTCATATGGCTAGGTTTGCATGCCATGAGGTCAAGGACCATGGTTTCACCACCATGTTCTCAAACCCACGAACAGAGTCTTCCACATAATTGATTCCACCTTTTTTTTTTTTTTGAGTCAAAATGCATAGGAAATTTGCCATAAAATTCTACAAAGTTTTCATATGAAAAATCAAAATGATTATGCTTTTGAGTTTAGTTTTATGTCAGAAAGGTTAATCTTCTTATGTTTTTCAATCATTTATCATTATCTCTATAATATATTTATGATGAATGTCTACAGATTGTTACATGACCACTTGTGCTTTGCAATTTGGGATTTCAGAAGTTAGAAATGTATTATGATATGCATAGCATATATTATATAACACCTCATGTGGGGTCTGGGCAGTATACCAATATAAAACACATTAATATTCCCACAACATATGAATATTCACTCTAATGCAGCGGTTCTCAACCTGTGGGTCGCGACCCCTTTCACAGGGGTCGCCTAAGACCATCCTGCATATCAGATATTTACATTATGATTCATAACAGTAGCAACATTACAGTTATGAAGTAGCAACGGAAATAATTTTATGGTTGGGTCACAACAGGAGGAACTGTATTTAAAGGGCCAGAAGGTTGAGAACCACTGCTCTAATGGGATAAATAAATAATATAAAAAGCTTAATAATAATACTGGTCAGGTTCCACCAAACTAATTCAATTCACTTCAGATTTTGCCTGCTAAATATGTTTTAAAAATTGTTTTTCAGAGCTTTTGCTTTTTTTCAATTGCATTGAGTCTTGTGACTTCAATTTAAAAAATACTCAATGAATTCCTAAAGTATGCAAAGTCCTGTTCTAGAACTATTTGAGAATTGGGGCTAGTGATGCAAAAGGAACTTCAGAGTGATGGAGATGAAGACATTCTAAAGCTTGAAACCTGTAACACAATAACCTATACTCAAAAGCATAGTGACTTTTATTAAACTGGCCAAATGTTTAAATAAGAATAGCTTTAGAAACTGTATATTAATAGATTTTTCTATATCAGGAATGACATCAGGTTGCCTGACTGAACGGACACTGGCTATGTTAAATGCCAGGTCAATATCAAAGTACAATGAACTACCAGAAAATCTATAAATTCTACAATTTCAAATAAGTATAATTAGAGTCTATTAGGACACTAAATAAAAAAACAACTCATATTTGACTCTGGGAAAAGACAGAATTTGAAGCTCTTACAACTATCATATGAGTATACTTTAAATCATAAATTAAAAATTCAAATAGCATATCCAATGTAAATTTATCAAAAGTTGGAAGAGCACTAAATTATAGCTGCTTTGTTATTCTTGAGAAAATTTATGTTTTAGTTTATATAGGGTGGGGCAAAAGTAGGTCTAAGTTGTTAAAATAATACAATAATAAATAATAATACTAGAATAAGCTCTATTTTATGCACTCATAACTGTAAGCCTACATTTGCCCCACCCTGTATTTGCCTAAATAATTTTTCAAAAGAAATCCTGCAAAAGATTGTCAAACTAAAAATCAGCCTCATTAGGAAACTAAAAAATACACTTTAAGAGACCAGCTCTACAGTCTTCTAAGCTTCAAAGAAATAAAAAATTTAAAAAAATGATACACTTTTATCTTTGAAATAACAAACTTTAACAAATTAACAAATTTAATATCTGATAACAATAACTGAGCTACTAAACTGCAAAAGAAACACTGAAGAAGATATACATTTAGCAATAAACATGTAAGATTCCCTCAAGGCACAAAAATCATTGAATTAGAAAAAAGTTGTTCATTCTATATTAGATTCCAACCCAAGTACATCACCTATTTAGTTATCCTTTTAATTTAGTTCAAAATTAATAGAAAAGGAAAGAAAACACAAATAAATAAAATAAACAGTATCTCAATAAAAAAGCAATATCTTTAAGAAAACATACATTTGCTAGGACACCAAAAGCAATTATGCAATTAAAGAAAAGAGAAATATTTCTAATGGAGAATTTTAAATTAAAAAACTTTTTCTACTGCCATGTATAATAAAATAGAATTGCCAACTAAATTATAAAAATTAAATTAAATGATTGACTTATTCCAAAGAAAAACTAAGTATGATTAAATATGCAATAAATACAATACAGAAAATTAAAGCACTGAATTTCTAAAACAACTTTGACATAAAGATTTCTATAGCTTTTGTAAAAAAAAAATTTTTTAAACCAAACCTGCCATATTCGTGTAAGTCCATGTTCTAATTTCTTTTTAATGTAGCCACGATCAAAATTAGTTTCTTCAGTGCTCATATTACTCCCTTCTGAAAATAAAAAATGGTATATTTTTTTTATTTGCTCAGTAACATTTTTGTTTAAAAAAAA